ACAGAGACTTAAATATAGAGGGTTTTCACACCACATATAGATGTTCTTCCATATTCAGTTATCTTTATAAGCGCTGCTGTTTTACCTCACACTCCATTACACACATCCACAATCTTATTTGTCCTCACATTAGCAGCATTTCAAAGACTTTTTTAACAGGTATTTAACAGACCTTGATATCAATGAGAGAACATTGATATGCGATAACATTATTATAGAAGAAACATTTTACAGTCAAACAGTCACTTAGTATTTACTGTTTAATGTAAGACAATAAAAAATGAGGGGGAAATTTACGAGATGATGCACAAATCTACCTGTTCCAACAACATCTTTATACTTTATCTTAACCTGCTGACAGGTACACATCTCTCATGTGATATTTAACCTAAATATAATGCATTGATACACTACCATTCTACCAGTAAACTACTTTCCCCCTCTTTTATCATGATTACAACAGTCTATGGCAGGCCTTTCTGACATTTATTAGTTTGTCAGTTTATGTATTTCTGATATCTGAGAAGAATATTTCCTTGTCAAATGACAATTTTACACAAAAGGACCTTCTTCATATCTACAATAAAAATTCTGGATGTCTAGAAATAAAATTCGGATCTCCATATTCTTACCAATTAAAGTGACAATATGACCTTATACAAATCCAAAGTAAGAGGTAAGAGTAAGAGATATTTGCTGGAGTTATTCTCTTTACTGCAGCTGGTGGTTTCATGATATAAATATATTATAAGTTATCAGTTGCTAAAATTGTAATGAAACATCCCCCAGGTAGGAAAGGATTTGTTTGTTTAAAACAAATACAGCTGGAATTAAATAACAACCTTCTGGATGAGTCGACTAGGCAGCTGCAAAGTTTGCTTACACCTCAGGTTGGCCCGTAGAGATTTAAGGTATTTGCTGTATTAAGCTGAACTGAATTAAGCTGAAAAAGCTATGCTGTTTTTTTTTTCTTCAATAAGCAATAATTCAATTACAAATACAAGTAAACTACTTTTCCCCTCTGCTATCATGTTTACAACAGTCTATGACAGGCCTTTCTGATATTTATTAGTTTGTCAACATGTACAGTATTTCTGATGTCTGAGAAGAATATTTCCTTGTCAAAATGACAATTTTAAACAAAACTATCTTCTTCATTTCTAAAATAAACATTCTGGATGTCTACAAATAAATTTCGAATCTCCATATTCTTACTGTTACAGGTCATAATCTGTATTATTTTGATCAAAAGGAAAAATATTTCTGATATCAGAAATACATATTCAGTCAAGCTGAGAAATGTCAAAATGGCCACTTAATTTATTTTTTTTATTTTTAGGTATATAACCTGTTATTCTTGTCATGATGGGGTTTTCTAGAGTAAAGCCCAAGATGCAGAACACACACGGAGACTCGGGTAAAAGTCCAAAGAGTTTATTAAAGGGCACAAGCACATGGATAATATACTGGAACAGTTCAGGCAGGGGGCTGGTTCACTGGGGTTTGTGCAGGGAAAGGGAGATGGCTGGTAGCAGAGTCCATGTGAGGCTAAGCGTTTAGCTTCAGGCTTAGCCTGGCAGTCATTGGTTTGAGCTTCCAGCTTACAGCAGAGAACATCAGGGGAAACACGAAGGATATCTCAGGCTGAGCTTCCAGCTCTAGCAGGGAACAACAGGGGATTTTCTCAGAGGAATCTTCAAGCTGAGCATCCAGCTATCAGCATGGAACAACAGGGGAAATCCACTTGGGAACCTCTAGGGAAACTCCTCATAGAAGTCGTCAGGTTCAAACCATGTAGGAATCTTCGGGTTGGCTCACCAGGGCAGATAGTTGGTTAAGCTCGCCTAGAGCTTCTGGCTGGAGGCTGGTTTCCTGTGATGCAGCTCTCCCAGAGCTGCAGGCCAGAGACAGGTTACCAGTGAGGCAGCTCTTCCAGGGCTTCACGTGGAGACAGGAGGTTAAGCTCATCAGAGCTTCACAAGGAGACAGGAGGTTAAGCTCATCCAGAGCCTCACGAAGAGACAGGATTCCTGTGAGACAGAAACAGGGAAGAGTTAGAATCTGATCTCACATTAGAGATAACCAAGATTCTTCCAGTAACAGAGGCTCAGGTTGCTAACCAACTAAGATCAACACTGCCGCGTGGGATCAAGGTCAGGCAGGAGCTTATAAAGGAGAGGTCTTCTAATGAGAGGATTAGGAACAGGTGTGCAGGAAAGTTCCAGCTCCAGAAGACCCACAGCGCATCCTACTGGAGACAGAGGGTAATCTCCAGATCCCCACAGTAACTCCAAACCTAAGGGAAAAAACAAAGAGAGCAGAAGAGGATCCTCGGCGCCCCCTGGTGGGCAAGCCTGAGGATCCCAACAATTCTTAGTAGAACAATTTTTTTGTTTTTGTTTTTCTCTGAAATTCTGCAGCAAAAATGTATTTTAGAAAATCTGTTATTACAATTCTGACAAGGAATGCGATTGCAACTAGGAAGAATCCTATTTTAGTGATCTATAAAGGAGCATGCTTTTAATAAATGTTAAAACGGCCTGCCATAGGGGACTTAAAGGTATAGTGGGGGATTTTCGTGAATTTTTGAAAAGATCCACCCTCTCCACTTAAAAAAAAATTCTCCATCAAAACCCTGTACTCGCTCCCGAGAGGAAACACCCAAACCTATCAAATGCCTGCAAAAGCATGTACGAGCCTATTTCTCTTTCTGCCCCTTACATTTAAATGTTGCCGTTTGCATCACTCATCCAAGGCTTACATTCCTAAATTTTTGCAATTTTTCCACTATGTCATAATCACCATCGGTAAGTGAAAATGGGGACGAGCATGTAGCACAACCTTACCTGAACTCAAATCACCAGAATGATTGACAATTAGGAGGACCACTTATTTTGACGATCCACCCGGGACAAGAACATCCTCCACTATACCTTTAAAATAAACTAGGGCTGCAACAACGAATCGATAAAATTGATAAAAATCGACGTTTAAAAGCGTTGGCAACGAATTTAATCATCGATTAGTTGTGTCGCGCGATTAATGCGTCATCCGCCGCCGCCGTCATCCCGGGGAAGAAAAAAAAATATGGCGGAGCGAGTCAGCGCCGCAGTTGCAGTGTTGCCAACTCAGCGACTTTTCAGACCCCTCCAGCGACTATTTTTTTAAAAAGCGACTAGCGACAAATCTGGCGACTTTTTACGGTGTCACTGGCGGCTTTTGGTGACTCTTACGTGAAAGCATGTATCGTTCCTACTCTTGTCCTCCAGCGGCAGCTGCTGCCGTGGGGCGCCTCCCCCATCCCAACGCCTTTCTCCCTCTCCCACAGGAATCCCTCTCAGCGTGCAGTCCGAGCCGCAGGATTTTAGTGAGGAGTTTACCCTCAGCGTCCAGACTGCAAATGAAGCGCGCATGCCCCGGGATTGACGGCGCAAATTGATCACAATAATTAAAATAGCCTGCGCTTTGTAAAGTGAAAAAAGTCGTAACATGCAACTTTTGTAAAAAACAAATGAACATGGCACGGAAGCACCACTGTTATGACGCAGCACCTGAAAAGAAAACACGTTGGAGCCTTCAATGGCAGTGAAGATAGCTGATCAGCAGGATGAGTAACCATGTTTGTTTCATTTTAAAGTGGGGAAACGTAACGTTAGTTTCTCAGGTAGCTCATCTGATGCTTTCCTTAGCTTGTTAGTAGGTTACAGACAGTGATAAGGTTGGCTTCTTATTTTACTTTTAATTTCATTTGAATTAGCTTAAGCAGCGTTTATATTTTCTTTATAAATAAATAAATTTGCAAATTATGAGGGCAAGGCTTTTAAAGTTTAAATCTTCTGGCAAAGAAAGTAAAGAAGATCCTGCAATTTATGGAAGTAAAGCAGAATAAAATCCAGCAAGATCAGTAATATGTCAATTAATTATCTGCCACATTCCCATGTAAATATCTGTCTTTGGAGGATGTGTTTTTTTAACACCCCTAGTTCTCTCATTTTTATTCCAAATACAATTTATAATTTGAATCACAGGGCTATTTTTATCTCTATGGTTAAGTATTTTCTTAAGTAGCAACTTTAACTGCTATACTTTCCTGTCTTAAAAGGCAGAACTCTTCTAGTCTAAAAAAACCTCATTTGTTGAAATGGGGGGACCTATTGTTTGAACCCCTTAGGGGCTTTTAAAAACAAAAATGTATTTTTTTGCGCTTTATGAAACAAAGTACCCTATATTTTGTGGATGTACAGCTACATTTCTCATGTAAGTTTGCATAGTTTTAACACAAACATTTATTTTTCATATAGCACCAGTACAGTTAATGAGAAACCTGTACTTGTGTGCTTGTTTGTTCTGTCTAAAATGTTTATTTTGGAATAAAGAGGTTAATATAAAAAAAATATTTTGTGTCCGATTCATCGATTAATCGAAAAAATAATCGTCCGATTCATCGATTTTCAAAATAATCGTTAGTTGCAGCCCTAAAATAAACCTAAACATTAACTGGAGCAGCAATCTTCTCTTCTGCCATCCCATCTCCCTCTCCTTTTTAACTGTTGCTATAAATGTCACTGACGCTGTCCTTTAGATATTTTCTTTATTTCTTTCATTTCTGCCTTAAACTCTCTAGGTAGAGTGATATGAATTAGGCATTTCTTGTTGCCTGTTGTCATGGTGACTGGTAAAATAGGGGCTCCACTGATCATGACTTTTCAAACTTGTTAAATAGATGCTAAACTCTGAGTATGTTCACTCAGAGTAGATTAAACTAAATCACAGCAGCTGCTGGGAAACCAAAAACAGTTTCCAACCTTAGTTGAGGATTTGAGTCTGAGTTTGTTAAACCTGCTTTGTGAAACGGATCAATGATGGCATTAAATCCAGTCTGAGATGCAGATTGACGCGTGGATGATCCACAGCTGGATTTCCAGGCGCCTCTGGTTTCCCGCCCAACAATCCAGCCCCCACTCTCCGCCCTGTGCGTCAGCTGCCAGAGAGCAGTGATTTAAACCCGGTCCGAGAAGGGAAGGTGACTGCCTGGGTGAGACACTGGAGCGTCTCTGCGTTAGAGTCTGCCACACGGTGGAGCAAAGCTTAACCAAACTTTCCCTGTAACATTTGACAACACCCCAATCCCCTTAAGAACCGACAAAAAAGTTTGACATTTCCCACCTTAAGGCATTTATCATCTCCAATCGCCAGTTTGGCTCCACTTTTACTACTTGACATTTTATTTTTTTTACGCAACAAGTCTGTTCCCTTCTTTTCCCACACTGAGAGCAAACCAGAAATGCCGTCGCCACATTAGTCGCCGTGGCCGCCCGGTGTGCCGCCGCAGTGACTCGGGCTGCCATGCTCGTGTCTAACGCGAGCCTGAGCGGCTGCGCGGAGTTCAACAGCGCCCTGTGCGCCGGAGCCGGAGAATGGCACCCGGGGGGCGGTACGCTCCGGACCACCCTAAGCCCAACGGGGCACCTCGTCGTGGCCGTGTGCCTCGGCTTCATCGGTGCGTTCGGACTGCTGAACAACCTTCTGGTGCTGGTTCTGTTCTGCCGCTACCAGATGTTGCGCTCCCCCATTAATCTGCTGCTCATCAACATCTCCATCAGCGACCTGCTGGTGTGCGTCCTCGGGACTCCGTTCAGCTTTGCTGCCAGCACGCAGGGACGCTGGCTCATAGGAGAGAAGGGCTGCGTGTGGTACGGCTTTGCCAACTCCCTTTGCGGTAAGTAAAGAGAGCAAACAGGACTGTCTGTAAGTCCCGTTTGGCATAAAGTCCAAATGTCTGCATTGCCTCTTGCCAGATTGAATTTGACAGTTAAGCTGTGATTTTGAGTTACGACCCAGTTGCGACACTGCCTCTTTTTTTAATAGAAAAGCAATATGTGCATTTTAAAACTTCCAGATAAAGACTTGAAAGATGATCACAATAAGCTGCAAATTCAGACGTCGATTTCAATGCATAGAAATTTAAATTTCTTTAATTAATCGTAAAATGTGTAATAAGGGTTTGATGACATTCTTTGCTGTTAGTCTTATCTTGAAAATCAGGGAAAAAATAATATTTGAGTTGATGTTTGCTTTCAGGATCCCTTAGAATCTGCAGTTCAGGCTCCGCAAAGGTGCATGAATGCCATTACTTTCAGATATGCACTGATGTGTGTAACAACTGGACGATTCAAAAATCAATTAACCATATCATTTACAAACGAGCAAAAATTTTTTTTTTTTTTGCATAATTTTAAAATAGTGTAATGTTTTAGGGAAAATAGGTTTGAGTGATGACGTGTTGCACCAGGGTGTAAAATGTCGCATGATCAGGATCCTCTAAATCCTCTCCTTAAAAAACAAAAATCAGAAGTTATCCAGGAGGGATTCGATCGCAGAAGATTATAAGGCTCAGACGTTCTATAAAAAAAGAAAGTAATGTGATAAGAAGAGATCAGTTTATAAATCAATAAAGGGTTTTAAAAAATAAACCCCAAAAGGGACATTAATGAGGTTTCCTTTTATTTATTTAATTGAACATTTATTTTTCTAACACCCCCCTCAAGACATTGCCATTTTTAAAGTGCAGCAGCGATAAAATCTAAACATGGTGATCTGACTGGTATAAGACTGGTATATGATTTACAGTTTCCAACATTCAGCGCTTTATTTTTTATTTTTTGAACCCATACATACCCTAAACCATATTATATGTGTATAAATATACATATAAAAAAAGTGCCATCCCTCCACACCCCAACTTAAAACTTTCTGGAAGTGTCAAAGAGCATGATTATTATGCTTTTTTTGTGTCTTTGGATTTCATGTCAACTGCTTGCAAAATGCGTTTTCCTTGCCTTCTTTGAGTCATTTCGATGCTAACTGTAAAGAAAGTGCTATTGATTAAGGATGTAACTTCTTATTTGTCTTTGCTTGTCGCCTTAAAGTTTTTAAGCATGTAAGCTTTCTTTTTTTTTGTAATTGCTTTAAAAGATTTCCGCTGAGACAACCTTCACAGAGCAGCCAATCTGCAAAATGGATTTTTGAGAGTCTTTTTTTTTTCTCCTCTATTCAACATGATTCACAATACAAAATGTCTTTATTGCCTTTAATGCTCAGTCAGTTCGGTGGTTATAAACAAGTTTGGCAGAATATAAAACAAATAATAGGAAGAGAGGATCAATTTGGATTCATATTGATTTGATCACTCACTATGTTCACTTATATGTCTGATGAACCATTTACCAGTTGCAAGACGAGCTTCTGGTAGAACAAAACAAAAGAACACTGTGGAGGAATATTTGATAAATTAACCTTGTGAAGGCACAGGATGTCCTTTCAAGAGATTTTGGTTATTGAAAAACCTTTGGAAAAGAACTGAGATATTTTTATTATCAGAAGATTCTTGTATAAACCTCAGATAGATGGCACCACAGGCAGCCCCTACTTTTGTAAAAAAAAAAAAAAAAAAAGCAATTAGAGCCGATCACAATGAAAAGGGGAAAAGTTATTAAAACACTTTATATGCTTTGAGAAAAAAGACATAAGGAATTTCAATTTGGGTTTAAAGGAATCTGCAGTGGGTTAATCTAATTTAGGTTTCATCAGTCTCTTTTAGACTTTCAGAAGATAAAATGGAGTCCACATTCCTGACCAAAAAGAGAAAGACCTTTATAGCAGCAACAGGTCATATTTATCCGAGTGCAACTTTAGCGAGCTACAATATTTAGTTTATACTTTACACGGTGCATTAACACAAATATGTCTGCTCTCTGTGGACGTGCCATACAAATAAGCAGTTGAAAACGTTCTGTGTTGCAACTGACAAATAACTTAGCAAACTATGCTTACTAAGTTCTAAGGTGTGTTTTTTCACCATTTGCATTTAGACATTTCATTCATCTTAAAATCTAACTTCCTAACGTTTAATGCTGGACCCAATAATACCAGCAATAAAGAAACTGTGGGAACAGAAATAAAAATCCTGAGAAGTTGTTGTCACTTTTGTTAATGCGGAAATGTATTTGAAAATGATTCAGTGAATGAATGTAACAGAAGTTTACAGGGTCAGGAAAAGTTGATAAGAAGATCACCTAAAAAGAAAGTAATACAAATTTAGCTGTAAAGTAAATGTTTGGAAAAAATCCAATTTTTATGCCATCTTTTCAAACTTTTGAAAAAAAAAAAAATAAATAAATGCTATATGTTTTAAAAGAAGACCTTGAAGATGTCAGGTAGGATACAAAAAGTATTTAGAAGATGTGCCTAAAGGAATACCATACATATTTCCTTGCTGTGTGGCTCAGACGTACCTCTTTATCTATTTCAACACCATAAAAGACAGAAATACTATTAAAGTATTAGATGAATGCTTTTAATAAATTTGAAAACAAGGTTGGCTGGCCATAAAAACTTTAAACCAAAATAAAAATAGTTTTGGCATTCACGGTTGTTGTAGGAGTACATCGTGTTCATTTATTTCTCACTTGCTCTGTGTTCAGCTATGGTAAAGATCACATCATGAAAGAAAAGCAGATTCTTCTAAAATCATGAAGTTTATTGATCAAAATGAAAACATGTCAATCGTTTGAAATTTTTTTTAGGTTCTCTGTAACATAGTGCTCTGCATCTGTAGCAAATTGACTGATTGCTGGATGCTTAAAGTCAGCTTTTCTTTGATGAACTTTTGTAAAGGTCTCATGAATTTTTGACAGCTCTCACTCAGCTCAGAAGATCTAAACTCTTGAAGCTTGTTTGCTCTGAGTAGTTAAGCCTCCAAGAACCACCCAAAATCAAAACTCAAACTAAACATCAGAACTTTGAAAACTTTTCTTCTTTAATATTCTCCCTGGACTGGAGGGGAAGGGATTGAACGTCCAAACATCAAGAAATTCTCTGAAAAATGTTCTAATGTTGTCATCCACAAACTTTATATATTTGATAGTGTTCCATGTAAAAAAACAGAAGCGAACAAAACATTTTTTCTGCCCGTCAAAGAAATGCTATGGTTGTTTATTCATGAAAAACAAAGTAAATATAATATTAATAGAAGTACCTGCTCCTCAAAGTCTAAGAAAACCCAATATTTAAATGAAACAACCTGTTTATATCATTCTGCCAATCATTGTAGGTCTAAAACAATCAAACAAAAAGTTTGTCATACTTTCTTTTTCAAATTAAAGGCACATTAAGCTCATGGAAGAATATAATTTTTCCATTTTGCAGGTCTGTAAGGATTTTCATTTCTGTTTTTGTCCAAAGGAAGAGGATATTCTTTCCTAAAAACAGTTATTGTTTATTGACGCTTACTGAATGAAAGTGCATATACCTGCAGGTCATTGTTTTTTATTACTGATCTGTTGCTGATTTGCTTGACACCAATTTAGAAGAACCCCTTGTGTTGCTACAGTAAGTCTCATTATTGCTCTTTCTGCTACCAGTCCTTCAGAGCCGTCCAGACTACTGCCTCTTTAATTCTTTGTAAAATACTTCAAGCTCAATTGGACTAAATAGAGAAGGTTTGTGAAGAGTAGCCTTTACGTCTTAGAACAGAGTCTCAATTGGATATCAGTCTTGACTATGACAAGGGCTTAGAGAATGAATCAGGTTAATCATGATTAATTGATTATTGAAATAATCGTAACTAATTAAGATTAATCGTTAAATGGAGTATAGAGACAGTAAGAAATGCCTTTAGCTGACTGACCCACTTAGAGCAGTAATTATACCAGTATTGTACAAAAATATATAAATATTTAGCATCTAACATAAAAAAACATGTTCGTCTGTCAATGTGTTCAATCCAGAACACCTCTAGTGTAAACATTATAGTTTCCTAATTTAATTTAGTAAAGAAGTCTTCTTCAATGAACCTTTGGGTATCTGATTATTAATCGAGTAATCCAAAAAGTAATCAACAGATTAATCGACCTGCAAAATAATTGTTAGCTGCAGCACTAACTATGACTGAGCATTTCAAAAAGTGGGATAATTTAAGCTTTATTATTGTAGGTCTATTCACTGAATTTAACCCATCCCCTTGAGGAGCAGTGGGCTGCCACTGTTCAGCCCCTGGGAGCAGGTCGACTTAAGGGTTTTGCTCAGGAACCCAGAGTGCAGGCTGTGGGGATTGAATCAGGTACTTGCAACCTTCTCAGAGCACAAGTGTACTGCTCTAACCACTAGGCCACCACTGAATGTTAACATTTCCCAACATACACTTTGTTGCATCTTATTACCTGGGTTTTCCCATTTCAGATTGAAATATTTATAGCCCTCTTCCAAACAACCTTCCTTCCTACCCCCAGGATGATGCTCCCTCCGCCATTCATAAGGAGGATGGTTAATGTGTAATGCTAGTATTTTCCTCCACATTTTGGTTAACATGAACGCTAAAAAAGCTTTGGTTTTATTTGAGCAGAGCAAATTTGTTCACATGCTTTATATAGTGGTGTTCTTTTAACGACTTTCTTGATGGCCAAATTTGGGTTTTCTTTCACTTCATCATTATTTGCTACCATGTGTTAACCTGTTACCTAAAAATGTTTTAGAATATGTTGAGTTTAAGTTCTTGTGCTTTGACAAAATACAAAAAATCAATGAAGAACCCTTAATTTGCTTCAGATTTTTGTGAAAGACTTAAAGCTATTCACATAGTAACCTGATTTATCTTTCTATAAAATCAGAGTTGGTTTCACTTTCATGAGAAATCGTTTAATTGTCACAAAAATTTAATTT